ACCCGCCGATGGCTATGGATCGTTGGGAGTCCGGAAAAGCGCCCAATCTTCAGCGGGTAAAACTCAAGGATTTCAAGATGGCCATATTGGAACAGCCAGAGCTATTTCCGGTTGGGACTGGGTTTCATTTCAACTGTCTTGCGAAGACTGTCTCCCCCCCTCACCCTTTGAGTCTACGGCGGTCCCTCTCCTCCAAGCCCACCGAAAAGCACAGCTGGCAGACGGAGCTGTCGGTGGCCTGAAGCAAGGCCTGCGCTGTTCCACCAACTAAGCGTCCCTCTCCGCGGGGAGAGAAGGGGAATGGGAGGAGCGCCTTTGCCGGCTCTATACCATCTCACCCGGCCCTGAGCTGAACTCTGAAAATTGCACCAGCTTCCGGCTCCTGGATTAAGTTGTTCCCCGCCCACGATAAGAACAGGGATCCCGTGACCAGAAGACATGAAGAGATGTAGTTCGGGAGGAAATGACCTGTCATAGAACCTCATATGTTCTTCCTTTCTGATTCTCTATAAGTGCAAAGCTATTCCATGCAACACGAGCTACACATAGAGTTCAAGCCCACCGCTGGTTTGTGAGGAAAAGAAGTTGAGAGTCCAGGCCATCAAAGCTCCCCTTCTGTCACTTCTCATCCTGAAGTAGAGGCCTTGAGAAATCATCCACATGAACCCACTGAGCTCCAAACCTTCAAACCTCCAAACTCTTTCACTCCCCCTCCCCCAACGAAAAGCACCAAACACCCACCAATGGCCCACACCCAACACCACCAAGATCACCACCCTCCCTCCCCCCAGAAAAAACACACAAACGCATTTAAGATAGCTCTATAGTGCAATAATGAATACAGAGGTAAAACAGAACACGCGTTTTACACTATGCGCACGATCACCCCGGAGAAGAAACACTCAATGCATCGTCCCTCCGCCCCCGCGCCGACACGTTCCCCGTCGCCCGGCCCGTGACCGGTCGCCGCGGACCGTCGACGCCTCGGAGAAGCCGCCCGCGCCGTGGACCATCACTTCCACCAGCGACCCGTCGGTGTGAAGATCACCCTGGTGGACCTGGTGAAGATCATGCGGAAGGGGCAACGTGACGTGCGGGGTCAGAGGGGACAGGAGAATTTTGAGCTTTGAGATGAGAGTGAGATGAAACACATGATGTATACTACGATGAAAAAAAGAGAGAGAGAGAGAGAGAGAAGCCAGACGTGGCGAACTGTATAGAGCTACAGGATGAAGGATTATTCTTTTTGGTCTAGTCACTAGTCTAGTCTATGAGAAACTGTGAGTTGAAGGGAGGGAGGACATGCTGCTGCAAGGTGCTATGGGAATCCAGCCCTCTCTGAGCGCTGTTGCATTTGTGTGGGTGAAGATGATGCCGTGAACAACTATGTCGTGGGCGTTGCTCGTCACACGAGACGTGCTTCTCCCATTTCACGCTGTGAAGACTACGTCCTGAAGAGATTGGATTCCTTCAGACCAGGAGGTGATTTCCCATGGGTGGCCCCGGCCAGGCCAAGCCACCTTTGGAGGCTCTGCCGCCGGGGTCCTCACGCCTGCCTCACGCAGGGACGGCACCGCAGCGGGCGGTGGTAAGGCGTGGCCCAGCAGCGCCCGGAGGCGGTCGATTTCGGCGCGGAGCTCAGCGGTTTCCAAAGCGTGCTCCTGGTGGGCAGGAGGTGGCATTGGCTTCAGGGCAACATGTGGAGTCCCAAACAGACCATCATTTATATGATGTTCTTTGTTGAAGGGATTTCACGTGGTATGTGGTTTGGTCCAGTCAAGTCCTCAGGCCAACACTCGCGGGTTCAGGTTCGGGTTCACCCTGACGGCCCTGACGGATCACTCAGACCTGGAGGGCACCGGCCACGCGACAGGGCAGGACGCGTTGTCCCGAATGCCGCGGTTGGGAGGTGCCACGTGCTGGAAATGCAGGCCCGAAAGCAATGGATGTAAAACATTTGGCAGTCTTGAGATCCTTTTGCATTGACCAGTGGTTGTTTGTAACTCCCCTAAGGATCCTTGGACCCTCCTTAGAAGGGCTCGAACCCTCTATAACAAGAGTTTGTACATGTTTGTACCCTCAAAACCCTTGTTTTTGAGGGTGCGGATCCTTAGGGTCCATTCATTTCTGGGTGGGACTGGGGGTTTCCCCAGGCATGTCGATTTGCATTTCTCGGAACCAGGTGCGCTGTTGTCTTGGCTTCCTAAAGGCCGAAGCTCAAAGGGTGGTTGGTTTGACGTGTTTTCCATGCTCCAGTTGCCATGCGCTCCATAGGGCTGGCGTATTTACATCGTCAATGTACCCTAAGGATCATTGGACCCGACCACTTCTGGAGGGTTTTGACCCTGCAGAACGCAGGGGTTTGAACCCTCAAAACTTTCACCTTTGAGGGTCCTTGATTCTTAGGGTAAGTAAACAAATCCATGCATGGAGTGTTTGGATTCTACCAAGAGGTGTCTAAGAAGGTGCTTCCAAGAGGTGTCTATAAACGTGTCCATCAACAGCCTCTTGGAGAGGTGTCCAAGGGGTGTCCCAAAACCACCGGACTTGGAAGGTCCTGGTACATGGATGGAGTCTGGAGTCTGGAGTCTATTTTTCCACATGCACAGCTCTTCGCCGCTAGACCGTCCGGTCAGTCGGGCACGGGGCGCTTGGCTTGGTGGCACCCAGATCCATGGGACTTGCAAATTGGCAAAACCGCTTAGAGTTGGGGCGCTTGGGGTGGTTTCGAGATGTTTGCCTTGCGATTATTGGGGTTTTGTTCGGAGTCCGGAGGCGTTCGGACAGGGTCTGCGATGGGCAATCAGAAGGGGCGTGTTTCACTGCTATGACTGGGGCCCCAGGTCGACTCCGAAATACTCTCCGTCTCAGGGTCGACTTTAAGGTTGGTTTGGGTCGATCTCGGGTCGCCCCTCTTCAAACAGAACACGTGGCCCGGCCCCGCTCGTCCTCAGCAACCTGAGAGAGCAACCTGACTCAGTGGGTGTCGTCGCAGGAAAACGATGGCTGGAGCAGGTCTCTAAGCAGGTCTCCCAAGAATAACCTACAGGGAAACCTACCAGAGGTGTCTAATGAGAGTCCTGGTTTTGGATGGTTTTCGCGGGGTATTCTTGTGAGTAACCTCTATTTTGGGACATTCCAAGCATCCGAAAAAGATGGTCAAACCTTCCTATCGTCGTTCCATAGGGAGGCACTCCAGTTTCACCGGTCGGCTAGCTTGCACCATCAACCGCTCCGGTCGTCATACTCGCGGAGAGGTGTCGCGTCCCGGAAAGCTCATGGTGCGGAACACGGCTGGTCCCACAAGCAAATCTCATCAAATCCACCATATGCAGCATGCATCATAATGGAACTGATCAGACATTGTATATCAATGTGTTCAGACTAGTTTCTTGGGAGTACTATGACGGATTGCTTCCAGATCTTCAAATGCTTGGATCAACTACCAGCACCCTCCAACAGGTCTCCTCTGGAGGCTTTTGCTGACTTAAAAATCGCAGGTGGTGACCTGTTGGAGGGTGCTGGTAGCAGGCGTTAATACCCCACGAGGAGTTTAATCGTTTCTATTCAGCTGGCCTTCCAAGGAAGCAGTGCTACGGTCAAAGCATGAACGGAGTTTCTCCCTTGACTGGGACTTAAAACCTTCGTGACCCGAGTCTTCCTCCGAACTCCGATCTGCCCCTAGGGCTCCTGGCCCATATCCTCAGGTTCGGTGGTTAGACCCCAAAAACCCACCCCAGCCACCGAACCTCAGGAGGTGGGCCAGGAGCCCAAACGGGTGCAGTCCTTGCCTGTTCGCTGCTTCCGAGGTCCGCCGTGCGGTCACACGACGCCGCGACGCGAACCAACGGCCCCGCGCCACACGTGGCGATGGCCGGCGATGCGCCACGAACGCTGCGTCCGTGAGACTCTTGAAAGCGCCCCGCGCCCGATCTCGCCATGGCGCCGGTGCCGCCGGTGCGATCGATCCAGAATGGCTGGGCCGGTGCGGCCGGTGACGGACAGGAGGCCAAGGGTCTCAATCCGCGTTCGGCGGTGGGTGGAATCTTCCAAGTCCGGATGGCAGGTGCTTCCGAAAAACCCAGACACTCCATCTGCGCCGGCCGATCAGTTGGTGTGGTGCCAGGGGGGTCAATGTAGGCGGCATATACGGTAATCCCATGGACTGTGTGGGTAGCCTATCGCTGAAAGCGAGTGCCACGAGCCATGATGGGTTTTCCCCCTTTCAGGATCGGAGATCACACGGTTTTCCCCTCCGGTGCGGCCCAGCTGGGCGGAAGCAGAACTTTCCAGTGAAGAACCAGATCGTTGGTTGTTGCGTGGCGTTTCTTTTCGGGGTTGACCAAGACTTTCTCTTATATACATGTGAACCAAATTGGCGCGGTGCCCATTCTCTTTATCCAAAGCACAGCCTGGGAACGCTGAAGTAGCCCCCGGACCAAACCATGTTTCTCGAAAAAAACAGGTGGCGAACTCCACGAAAGCATGATTTCAGGGACTGGATTCTGCTGGATGAAAGCGCCAGACTGGAAGAAAGCTTGGGCAAACCCTGGACCTTGGAAGAGGGACCGACTGGAAGACATGGACTGACATGGGCTGCCCTACACTTTACTACCTGCTACCCCGGATAGATACCAATTCCAGTCCAGGATGCTAAAAAGTAGTTTTTTACAAGTTCACGCAACATTCACGTCCATCTTGCGAATTCACGTCCTTTTGAAAGCCTCAACGGTTTTTCATGTCCAAAGCCTGAACACCATTGATATATATTTGAGTGCTGTGAAATAGACCAAGTTCAGGGATTACGGTCAAACATGTCCCGGACAACCTTTCGTGTCCTTGCCAAAAGACAACAAGTGGCTAACATGCGGACAACAAAAGGTGCACTATAAGCTTTAGGAGGTAGTATACATGAAGGTCCGGACTCGAGGTTCGCTTCGTTTTCCCCCCTTCCAACCGGCGCTTTCACGGTCGCACGCGGTCGACGCACGGTCGCACGCCTCCCTCGTCGCCGTCGGAAGGCGCCACAGAGCAGTTCTCCTGCCTGGACCGGACGTCGCTGCCCCACGCTCCGCTTTCGGATCGTGGCGATCGGTGACGTATGTACGGAGGGGTACGCAAAAAAACCAGGACCTGCAGGGACAAGTGGCCAAGGAATTCCGTCCCAAACGCATCACCAGATTACCACCTTCCGGTGTTTCGAGGCCTATTTTCCAATGTCTAGCCTCTAACTCGCGCCTCTTCGGGGTGTCCCAAAACCACCGGACTTGGAAGCTGTCACGGGATTCGCCCCGTTTTTCAATCCATCCGATCCGCTCCCACTGCGGACCCGATGAAGTTGGAACGGTCACGGCGCGAACCGTGACCGAATAGAGCAAAACGAAAGGAGTAAGGAGCAAATGATGTAGGATCTGTATATGATTAACCCTCCCATGTCAGGAGGTTGTTGAATTCAAATGGCGGGTTTATGATGCTCTAATTAATCAAGAGTCTGCATTAAAACACACAGTGCTTACATTAAGCTGTCTCAAGGGCCCTTCACGCAGATCGTTCTCGTTTTGCCCTATAGGTTCTGATGTTTCTGTTGTTTTGAGATCTGAAAAGTAAATAAATACAATATCATACAAATTCACACAAGAATAGAACAAAACAAACAGAACATCATACATATCTGATATATTCCATTGCATCTGCAGTAGCCGTAGCCTCCACCTGCGTGGAACTTTGCAGAAATGTTGCATGGACATCCCAGAGAGTCGATCAGTTTTCTACTTGGCTGGGTGACCTCCCATTTGCGGCGGGCCGGATTGCCACTTTCAATTTGCCCTTTAATCGTGGTAAGACTCTAAGACCCTCAATATTCCAAGATTGTCCCCTTCAAAGCCACACAAACAGGTGCCATAATGTCATAGCGCCCACCATCACAAAGAAACACTTCTTATGGTCGCAGTAGTTTCTGAGTCCGGTTTTCTTGGGTCCGGGTCCCCAACTCGACATGTTGCATTCCCCAACTCGAGGATGCTGGTGAATGGTTCTGAGCCAAGGTGCTCCCAACAGTAAACCTTCGAAGAACCTCAGCGAAGAAGCAGCATGTGAAGAGGAACAAGCGTGCGTTCAAGAAAGACCGGCCTTTTCTTTTTCATGTTTCATACATATTGCATCATATTGCTCTGTCGTTTGCTGTCCTTCTGATAAATAGCAGATTGTTGTTGTTGTTCCATTTCAGAAGATTGGAGCAACATGCCTAATGAAAAACTCATGCATTGAGAAGCGTGTTGTTGAGCGTATCTTGGATGCCCGACATCACAGTCCAACTTGGGCTGCAACCCAAACCAAAAAGCCTTCGACCAAAGGTCCTTTCCAACCCAGCTGGCGTCCGGAATCGTCTTGGAAGACCCACACCCGATCTCTTCGTCACGCCGTCACGGGCCCAGGGCCCCAAAGGGGTCTGTTCTTCGAAGCAGCCGGGAGAGCGGCTCCAGGGCAGTGACCAAAAACAAGGCCCAGAAGAAGGGCTCCAGGACGGGCCGCAAGATGCCCATCAAATACACCTCAGGTCGAGGCAGGTCACGTCTTACTCCGCCGGAACTGAAACCCTGGCAGAAGCGGTGTTCCGCACGTTTTTGGTGGGAACCACGCAGCAGTGCGAAGACTTAAAACCCAAGATGTCGAAGGCACCATGTATACTTAATAGCCAGGTCACCCCGAACAACCATTGGGCTACTAAGGGTTCTACAAAAACCACATGATCCATGTTGAACATGGTCGACTTGACTTCCAGGGAAAGAGGCGTCCCATGAGAACACACCTCTCAAAGCCCAAACGAACTGACAGCGCGCCATTCTCACACCCTTCACGTCGTGCGGCTGGTAACCGACTTGTCCAAACCGGGTTTCTCGGTGGGTTTCGACCTGAAACAGGCACAAGTGAACCCAGGCACAGCACAAGTGAAGCCCATGGTCGCACCGCAATGGAAGGTCATCCTCGGATGACGTCATTCGAGCGGGGTCGAATCCAACGGACTTTGGAGAGGTGGAGCTTTGGGTGGTTGCTCACGTGCTGCGCTTCGTTTCGCGAAGGCATCAAACACCCATGGGACATTCCAGAGTATTCAAAGGTGTTCTGGAGCAAAATTCATGTCCCAGCCATTGAGTGTCAGTTTAGGGGGATGTGCCCCAGCCTAGCACTCACCAAATTCAATTCAGACCTACTTGTAAGAACAGGTGACGCAATGAGTATAGCCCCTGGCATTCCAAGACCATCTTCATGCTTGGCCTGGTTCATGGTTGTAGTATGTTGTAGTCTAAACTCCGCAAAGCAGTGCTTGTTAAGGGGATGGAAACCGGAACGGCGATGTTCCTGTTCATCCAACGGATTTCGTACAGACTCGGGCTGCGACCCGACACCGGTTCCACATCGACTTGTTTCACCCTCCAGGATGCCTCTGACAGGATCACTGCAGCACTGTGGCTTTTCGTTGCCCTGGACCCCTCGAATCCAAACGTCCAAACCGCTCATTCAAGAACAACACCACGGAGCGAGGTCCGGAGCGATCGGGTTCGCTACAAGTTCCGGGGCGCTCTCCTGGCATCGCGACTCGCACCGTTCGCGATCGGACGCTTACTATAAAGCACTTTCCTGCACGCGTTTCCCATCGAACTGCCCGCTCACCTCACTCCCGCCCAAGAGAGGTAGCCAGTGACCTGAACTAGGACTGTACTGGGGTACCTATATATGGGATAGTCTAGTTAGTTCGGGTCATTCAACCTCCTCACTCCCGCCCAGGCACCGATCCCGAAAGCTCCGTGCCGCAGCGCTGGTGAAGGCGTCCATGGCGCGGGACCCAGCAGGGGGCGCGTTCGACCGGACTACAGCAAAAAACCGCGGGGTGAACGGAGTCTTCGGGATGTGGAGGGAGCATGGGGAGCTCCACTCCTCTACTCCAAAGAGTCTCACATCCAGAGAGGTAGCCAGTGACCTGAACGTTCGGACCCGTCACCCGGGGTACCGAACTGGGATAGTCTAGTTCGGGTCATGAAAAACCTCTGGTTGGCAGGACCCATCTGTTGGACCCATCGACCGGAAACCAAAAAGGACGTGACTTGAAGACCTTTTCAGAGCTCTCATGATACGTCGTACGTACGTTTGGGTTGCTCAGGAACAGAGCACTCTCCCGCCGCGGCGACTAACAAGGACCCTGGTTTGGATGCTGAAAAAGGATGCCATTCTCAGGGTTCATAGTTAGTTTTCGGAAGTCTATCTATTTTGCGCTTCGAAGGGCCACTGGTTTCCGCGGTGTATCGGGGCTGCGGGCGGCTTCACAAGCCGCAAAGCGACATCATAGGGGTGGTTGACCTGGGGTCTTTTAGCATTTGGGTGACATGTCGTGTACGTCCTTTGCCTTGACGCAGGCACAGCTGAGGGAGCTGCGACACGAGCGATGGTTGACCCACAGTCGTGGTTCCCTGTCCTGGATGTGAGCTACGCATTTCAAGAGGTAGACCTCCAAGGCGTCCCGTCGTAGTGTCTTGCTCCGAACGTAGCGATGCAGGAAGGTTCGGAGGGTAGGCCAAGTCTACCCGTTGGGCCAAGGTGTCTCCCTATAGAATGCCGGCCGTCGGAACGTGCAGCTGCAAAGTATCGTCTCCCATGCCTAGACTAGACACTTTTCTGAAAACAGGGGTCTCTAGACACAGCCCACAGCCCGGGGCTGACATCAGGATATCACCCAAGGAGTGAAGTCCACCCTCCCTCCAACCAACATGGTTGGAGAATGGCCTGTTTTCCTCTACAAACAGGATGTTTCCACTTCCATGATTGTTTCAGGGAGTGTAGAGCCACCCTCCGTTTTTGGTGAAGCCTTCGATCCATGAGCACACCACCCAAATCGATAGAACAACTATAGTGCTGTATGGCTGCAATGAACATGCTTTTTGGGCGTTGTTCTGCACCGCACCATCTTTACCAAAAGAACTGTCCAAGTCTGGGTGTCCTTCTTCTTCCCTGAAGTAGTCGGCAGAAAACAACCGTGCCACCAGCCTATATACCTTCTTCTCACCCCGGCCTTTTCGTTTCGATCCAATCATTTCATATAGCTTCCAAGCCGATTCGATTCCCCTCCAGCGTCCGACAACCAAAGGGGTGCCGAAGAATTTAGGTAACTCCTGATCAACTCGGGCCACCTAAAGGGTCACCGGACGAATGCGTCTAAAGTCTGACTACTTCAGTCCCCTGGAAAAAAGGGTAGAAATCCCCTCTAAACCAAAAAGGACTTTTTCGGGTCTCTTCCAACAACTCATCCACTCGATCGCCTTCGACTTCCACTGGGGTCTCCGGGCCTTTGCTCCGGCCCGCAGCGCCTGCCGCTCCACCGCTGAAGAAGTGCCTCGAGCGGCCATGGAGCGGTTGTTGGGAGGCACCGGTCGCTGTCCCCGCCGGTGGCGGAGGTGGCGGGGGCCGATTTCGCCTCGCCCCGTGGCGGCGGCAGGTGTCCCACAGCTGGGACCGCGGGAAAAGGGCAGCTGGCATGATTTCGTTTTCCAGAACGCACATGGGGATGTGCAGGGAATCGGAAGAGGGGTCCAGAAATTGCGGGTGGAGGTAGAAGAAATCAAATTTGAGGGCTCTCAGGATCATGCAAAATCTTCGTAGAATCCCACCAAGAAATTGCATACTTTCACACAACCCCCCTCTCGCATGCATGGTCAAAGGGAGGGATGGCTTCTCTATGCTTCTCGTTCTCGATCTGTTGCAGGGGTGACCCACTATCTCCAATTCCATCCAACAAAGGTTAAGTGACCTTACAGGACCCCAGTGGGGTATCATATTTTGTCTTCTATAGGGTTCTTCAACCTCTGTTGGATTGTTGGATATCACATCTCCATCCAAGTCTCGGCGTCCCAAACTGGGACATCTCACATGTGCACAGGTCTTCATCGCTTTTGGTCTCAAAACCGCCAAGTGACCTGATGGCTTGGAAGTCTGTCGAGCTGCCTGTGACGCGGCGCGAGCTGCGCCCGCGTCGCGTCAACCGCCCGGAGGCGAGGCGAGGCGAGCTGCGCCCGAGGAGGCGGGCTCAGCTTGCAGATTGACACGACGAATCACATCGCGTGGAAGTGGATGGCACCCCTGGTCAAGGAAAGTCTTCCGCCTTCACCATGCCACGTCTACCCATGGACTCGCGAGTCAGAGGGTAGGGCGGCATCTAGGTCTCCTCGCCCATCCATCCGGACCGGAATTTTGGCCAAGCCCTGGGGTGATTTGAAGACCCTGGAAGTCAAGTCGACCATTTTTAACATGGTTGATCTGGTTTTGTAGTGTAAAACCCTTAGTGAAACAATGGTTGTTCGGGGTGACCTGGCTATTAAAGTAATGGTGGTTCGACTTCTATAGGGAAGATGTATTTAAAGGATTTTAAAGGGTCAATGTAGGTAAAGATTCCATATACCAGCACATACCAGCAGTTCTGGTGGCTTTTGCAGACTTAAAAGTTGCAGGTGGGGACCTGGCAGTGAGGGCTCAGGTGCATGGGATGGTCTGGGATTGCTTCCTTTCGCCGAACATCCTGGATTCAGGGTGCCGGTGACGCCGAGCATTCTCCCGGGTCCCGACTTTTTCCCTCACAACTCCTTGACCGATTGATTCCAATTCGTTTCGCTGGAACAACTGCTCAGCAACACAACCTTTGTCAAGAAAACATCAACAATCCAAATAAACCACAATTGGACAACAACCACTTGGCATGTCATTTGCTTCGCATGTTCATTTTGTCCTATTTTCTTTCACATGCCAAGAGCAAAAAGCAACACATCCCCAGCAGCTCGAAGACTTGCTTCGTCTTCGCCCCTGTCACCTTTGACGCGACTCGGGCGGGTTTCGACACCGCCTGCGTGAGCGGCCTGGCACCCCACGCGGCCGTGGCGCCCCGTGCGCGGCCGTCGGTGTTTCCGGCGTTTGGTCTAAGCAAATTGGAACTGAGGAGGATCCAAACTCGAAATCAGCGGGCTTTAAAGACTCGAAGCCCAGACTCCTATCTCCAGCCCTAGCTTTTCAGGTTGATGTCAAGCCGACAAAACACTGTTGGAGCCCCTTGTCCTCGCCAGCGCCATGGCATTTCGAGTGCCGCCCCCGAAACGGTTCTTTTGGAAGGCATCTCCCTTCTGCCCTAAGAATCCGGACCCTCAAACACAATCGGGTTTGGGAACCGGGCCCTTTTCCCCCTGCGTTTCGGTGGAGAAGGTCCGACCCCTGCCATGGAGAGCCCGGACTCGGATTCTTAGGGTGACAAGTATGACACTGTTGCTACACTGTTGCCACAGCATGCGGCAACTGAAGCGTCCGTGTCGGCTCGTGAGGTCTGCAACGAGCCGAGTGTGCTTCTTCTCTTGCGCCTTGGACCTTGGTCGAAGCCGCAGGGTCTCGTGCGGCTTAAATCCTAGAACGGACAACAGCTTTTATATAGGGACTTCTTGTTTAAGTTGCCTGGGGGTACCAAAACACTCTGACTCAAATGGAAGTGGAATGGCCTGGTCCCTTGGACCATCCACACTTCCGATGTGGGCAACTGCGCCAAGGCTTAGGGACCCCGTATCCACTCTTGTGTTGCTTAGTTGAAAAGCCTTTTGCCAAATGGGATAGTGATGGATAGTGTCACTTCGACCCTATAGCCTTCATGCGACCTATTTTTGGCACCCAATGTGTACCAGCACCTCACCCCCCCCCCCTGAGTCACCAAAGACGCTGCTTTCAAGCTCTCCACTTTCAGTGTTCCAAGACTTGTTGAGGAATGGGTGCATGGTCACCAAGCCGCAATGGTATTGGCATATGTGTTTTGGAAGGACATTGACATCCCGCCAAACAAAGCCGGAGCCAAAGACTATACATCATGGTCTTTAGGTGACCCAAAAAGGATTTTCCTTCACTTCCGTCGGTCCAAATATATTTGTTGGACTTCAAACGGCAAGATATAACAGCAAGTCGATACCAACAGAAGAAGCGACCAACACCTAGCCATCAAAATCCAAAGTCCATGGGTACCACCAAATCAACCGCAAAGCCCAAAGCCACCAAAAGCCACTCAAAGTACATTGACAGAAGCCACACACAAGCTAACGTCAGTAGACGCCAAAAGACACGGAAGCCACAGTAGGACGAAGCTAAAGTGATTTCAAACTAGATTAAAGAAATCCAAATCACCGTACAAACACCCAAAAACACATGTCTCCCCAACACACCTTTGTATGTAAAGAATCTTAGTTGACATCATTGCCTTCTATCCCCCTGCTTTTTCTTGCCCTGCATGTTTGCAGTGAACATGTCCCGTGCAACACAGCTGTCCACAAAACTACAGTACTGAGGGATGTGAGGCAACATCGCATTCGATTAAGAACACAATCAGTTCTTCTTCTCGGTTCTACTCAGTTCTACTCAATCCTCAACTCACCGTGCGACTTAGCTCTAAATCGGGTGTCGCCCAGCACTGGAGCCTTAGCTGGGGAGGCATGCTGAGCCTTGACTCTGGTTCATGGACCTCATCTTCCATCTCGCTTAGCCTGACCAAGCACACCATCATCCTTCAGTAGAGGATGAACAATGGAACATGTGAAAGAAAGAAGGACAGCTTGTCCATCCAGCACAGGAAACCGGTCGGCCGTGCACTCCAAAAACGGCTGGATGTGGTACCGGCACTGGTCTTCCTCGGCTAACACCTGCGAAACCAGTTCCAAAAGGGCCAGATCCATTTCAACCACTTCAAGCACCAGGACCTTCAAAGTGACCTCGAATTGGAGTCTCTAAGTGGCCTTGTACAGACCTAAGTGACCTCATCCTGGGAT